ACTATTGGTGAGGGTTCCTGGCTGACCACAAGCTACACTGCCCGTAACTCTGTCCATTGACTCCTCTTCCCCTCACCATCTTGCATCCATATTGTCTGTCTTAGGATGGAAAGTTACAGCCCTTCATTTTGGGGGCTGCCCATGGCTGGAGCCATCTGTGTACCGTGCATCTTTGGGTATAGGGGCTCTTCCCTCCTGGTAAGGACTCTCTGCTACTAATGGTTCTAAAGTAAATTCTTCCTGCTTTTCACTAGTATATGTCACTGGCCCCAATAAGTGATGGAGTTCTTCACTCAAGGGTGCTATGCTGCTGTAGGTAAGCACCCTACTTGGCCAGTGTAGGCATCTGTGCCACACCACTCTGTGGCTTTTGGGTCCTGTCTCATACCCACCCTGTGATGGGGTAGGTGGTTATTACCTTTATCACAGCCATTTAAATTCTTCCTCTGAGTAGCAGACCTTACTTCTTTTTGTGCCCTCATTGCTTCAACCTCTCCTAAGTCTGCTACTGTATGAGTAGCCTCACTTATGGGCTGCCCTAAATGAGGGGCAAGAATAGCCACTAGAGGTCCAAAGAGGGATGTGGGAGCCATTTGGAGCACAACATTTCTCATCCCTGATGTGGGAGCCATTTGGAGCACAACATTTCTCATCCCTGCAGTAAAAGGCTCCTCCTCTGGGTCATAATTCTCTGGACTATAGATGGCATTTTTCAAGCCAAGTCCCATAACACCTGTTGAAGCTCAGCATATGTCTTCCATCTAGCAGGGGAGGATGGTAAATCACCCTGATGGGACCACACAGCACAGAGTACAGCCATAAGCCAATTGAGGAAGGAGTGGTTTCCTGGGTCTGATGGGCATTTTGTAATCACTGCCTCAAGGCAGGATAAACTGTCAGGGAAGCCAGCTTTCCAATCTCTGATCCAGACAGAACAATTCCAGCCACCCCTAAATCCCAAAGGCACAAGAGCCAAGCTGATATTGACTCTGAGGGCTTCTGCTGAAACTGGGAGCCCAAATCCACCAGCTCAGCCTGAGTATAGGGGCAGAGCATAGAGTGCTCCACGACCTGGGGAGGAGACTGCACCTCTCCCCGAGAAACTCTCAGTTGCTGTCTTTATTTTCTTTACAACCACTGGGCATGCTTTCAGTAGAGGAGGAGTTGGTGCCTCCAGAAGCACCCCTTCATCCTTCCCCAGCTCCTCCATTTCTGGGGCTGATGGCACCTTTCTCTCCGCTCCCCTAAGTGCCTCCTCTGCTACACCCATTACCTTTTCTACAATGCCTCGCAGCAATGCCAGCTCAGTCTTCAACAGCTCTCTTACCTTCATCTCAGTACCTTGCAGCTGGCGTTCTCGTGCTACCTATTCCTCTGCTTCCCTCAAGAGTATCCTTCTCCTTCATGGCCTCTGCCTCCTTCAGAGCACCTTGCAGTGCTGCTGTCTCATTCTGTAAAGAATCTTTTATCTCCTCCACTGGGCCTCGTAGCTCACGTTCTCGCACTGCCTCTTCTAGTGCTTTTTGCAGGGGTCCATCCTCCTTCATGACCTTCACCTCTTGCACAGTACCTCACAGCAACACCATTTCATTTTTTAACAAATCTTTTACTTCTTCCACTGCACCCTGCAGCCACTATTCTTGTGCTGCATCCTCTCGTATTAAGGCCATTTCATTCTTCAATGAATCCACAGCAGTTTGCAGCTCGTGTTCTCATGGTGCCATTTCTTGTGTTTCTTTCAGGAGCATGTTCTTCTCTGTAGACTTTTTTAATACTGTGAGAAACAGCCAACCCACAGTCCCTGCTGCCTCACAATCACTTTGCCTCTCAAAGGACCTCCTTATTATACCAAGGGCCACCCCTACTGCCTCAGATGTCACCTCCACCTGCTTCCAGTCATGGGGTGGGGCCCAGCCCTCTAGGAGGCAAGCCATCTCAGACCACATACCCACTGAGGGACAGTCGACTGCTTCCGCATTCTTAGGGGCAGCCAACTGAAGCACCCCTCCCATAAGGGCAGTCTGTTCTGTTCCTCCATCAGCAATGAATGCCGCTATGCTAATTGTCCTGCCAATGGGTTTCAGCCCTGGGCGAGTTCACTATGGATTCAGTGAGACCAAGGAATGACAATGGAATGTTCTTGGGGTGAAAGGGTTTATTACCCAGCTTGTTCTCCTGGTGATAAGTCAAGCACTAGAATTACATCTGCATCCAACAGTCTGCAGGTCTGTAATCCTCCTTCGTTTCTGCCTCCACCCGGGAGTACTGGGCAGAACTCTTTATATCGTGACTCAGTCAATAATATCTTATTGCCTACGGGTGTGGAAGCAGTAGCCTAGCAGCAGGCCAGTTATGTCATCAAAGAGTTTAGGTTCAGGTGAGGTCCTGGCCATAGGAACTTCAACTTTCCCCATAGTCAGTTTTGGCAGCTTGTATGTTTCTAGAAATTTAACTGTTTCATCTATGTAATTTAATTTGTTGGCATACTATCCCCTTATAAGCCTTTTTATCCCTGTAAGGTCATGAGCAATGACCCTCTTTCATTCTTTGTTTTTGTAAATTGATTTTCTCTTTTTGGTTTTTTTTTTATCATTCTACCTAAATTTGTTTAATTTGTTGAACTTTTCAAAGAACCCACCTTTGGATTTGTTTAGCTTTATTTTTCTATATAATTGTATACTCAGAGTTGCTCTTGGCTTTAGTGGTAATAGTCTTAAGAAATATTTAAAACAAAAATCATAATAAAACTACATTGAAATTACTTTCAAAGAACCAACCTTTGGATTTGTTGAGCTTTATTTTTCTATATAATTATATACTCAGAGTTGCTCTTGGTTTTAATGGTAATAGTTTTAAGATCATACTTAATAAAACTACATTGAAATTACTAGTTTTTTCTATTGGAGCCTAACACATATGTACAAATGTATATGTATGTAATTAAACATAAATAAAAAGTGATCAATGAATATAAAAAACTAGCAGGATTCCAAGGTTGCCTCATTTTTTTTTTAATCCTGATTTTTTATTATATTATAATGCTATCATAATCAAAATCATATGGTACTGGAATAAAAGTAAAACAGGCACATAGAACAATTCACCAGGGTTGCCTCATTTTTAATCTCACCTAACATTATTTTAGATTTGCAAGTATGGATTCATTTTGGCCATCCTTGAACATTGTTTACTTTCATTGTGCTAGCTTAATTTTGGAGTGATACATTTCTGCCAATAAACTTAGCTAGACTCCTTTTTTTTTTTTTTTTTTAACTAAGGTGTCATTGATATACGCTCTTATGAAGGTTTCACAAGAAAAACAATGTGGTTACTACATTCATGTTTATTACCGAGTCCCCCCCCACATACCCCATTGCAGTCACTGTCCATCAGTGTAGTAAGATGCCAGAGTCCCTGCTTGTCTTCTCTGTGCTACATTGTCTTCCCAGTGACTCCACACACACCATGTGCACTAATCATGATACCCCACAATCCCCTTCTCCCTCCCTCCCCACCTGCCCTTCCCCACCCCTCCCCTTTGGTAACTGCTAGTCCCTTCTTAGAGTCGGTGAGTCTGCTGCTATTTTGTTCCTTCAGTTTTGCTTCATTGTTATACACCACAAATAGGGGAAATCATTTGGTATTTGTCTTTCTCTGCCTGACTTATTTCACTGAGCATAATACCCTCTAGCTCTGTCCATGTTGTTGCAAATGGTAGGATTTCTTTCTTTCTTATGGCTGAGTAGTATTCCATTGCGTATATGTACCACATCTTCTTTATCCATTCATCTTCTGATGGGCACTTAGGTTGTTTCTGTATCTTGGCTATTGTAAATAGTTCAGCTAGACTCCTTTTTAAAGTAGTACTCCTTGACAGCAGAAATCATGTCAGTTTCTCTCATTTATCAAACTCAGAGTGTAAAGAGATTTTGGTGAGGGAAAGTATAGATGTAGTTTTTTAAGTTAGCCTTTATTAGATTTGTTTTCTTTATATTCCTTCTTAAATTTTATACCTGTATCTGTTATTTCTAGCTTGGTTAAACCTCTCATCATCACCAATCACTAATTACAATATTCTTTAAGAGAGATTTTAATAGGTGCTGTAGGTAGGAAAACAAAATGTCCCCAGTTTTGTTCTCAAGTTTCTTAAATCTATTTCCAGACAAAAATATTGAAAGAAGTGATAGTCAAATAAGTAAAATAGCAACTCTAATGTAAATTTCAAAGAAGAACTCACTATGTACCACAGTACATCAGGAAGCTTTCCTGCCCAAGGTTGAATTAGAGCTATCAGTAAAACTTGGGGATATCAGTAAAACTTGGATGGATAGAAAGAAAAATAGCCTTTCAAAGGGGAAACAAAATGGAACAAAGGCCAGGAGGCAGAACATCACATACTGGGTTTTACATCAGTGATGTGACCAGCTAGACTTAAGGTTTTATTAGAGGAGTTTTATTAGTAGATGCAGTGGAAAAGTACTAATGACAGCTGCTATTTGAGAGCTTACTCTGTGCCAATCATTGTGCTAAACACTTACATATTTTATCTAAGTTAATCTTCACAAAGCAGAAGTAGATGATTTATTACTATTTTGAAAGTGAAGAAAAATTACTTTTCAAGAAATAATTTACTTGCCCAAAGTCAGGCTTTAAGTGAGAATCAAAGCCTAGATTCAAACCACTTGATTTCAAAGTCTGTGCTCTTAACTGCATACAAAACTGCTAAGTTGCATTAGGCTGTGGAAGATCTTGAATGCCAGGCCAAGGTGATGAGACATAATGCTTGTTCTTTAATGTTTACAGTAATCACCTAGAAACCCTTTATCAATAAATCTTTCAGCAGACTTCTTGAAATTAATGTGATAAAAGTCATTGACAAATTTGGGGGTCACTCAAAATGTAGACTCAATAATATTGGAGATGCTAGGATTTCAGTGCTAACAGCAAAAAGCAAGCTATCAGATACTGGAATAGGAGAATTCTTTTTCCTTTTACATTAGGCAACACTGGACTATGGGATGTATTCTCGAGAAGAAGAACTGTTAAGAGAAAGAAAACGCATTGGAACAGTTGGAATTGCTTCTTATGATTATCACCAAGAAAGTGGAACATTTCTATTTCAAGCTGGTAGTGGAATTTATCATGTAAAAGATGGAGGGCCACAAGGATTTACTGTAAGTTGAAGATACTACTCCTTAATCTGTTACTACATGTTAAATCCTAAGGATTATTTGCATCCAGATCAGTTAAACCAAAAAGTTCTGTTTATCCACCAATTAAGAAATTTAGTAATAAAAGAAAAAAACAAGAAATACGGGTATTAATTTCCAATTTTAAGAGTTAACAATTTTTTCCAGCAGCATTAATGTACAATTTATAATTTTAAAAAATATTCCTACACTTGGTATGTAGAAAGGAAGATACAGTAAAGGCATTAATGCCCATTTTCTGAGCAAGTGCTGAGGGGTATTTTGGAAGATAACATTACCACAAGTTACCACAAGCAGTCTGCTTTTGGTTCCCTTAAAAGCTAAATTCATCTTAATAAATGTTTGGTTTTAACCAATCAGTTCTTTATGTGCTATTAGAAAGAACTCTTCTTTTGATAGAATTGTGGTGATCTTTCATTACATCTTTATGATCAAACTATTTTGTATTGGTAAAATTAATTTGAAATATTTAATAAAGTGTTCAATAAATAAATGTTCAATAAAAGCATTTAACAAACAATAATTACTCTTTTCTTAAATAAAATTTGTGAAATCCTATTATATTGTCTTTATTTCCTCTCCTAATACTTTCTAATTCATAGTAAAAAGAATTACTCTTTATAAGTTAAGGCATATGAAAATATATTTTTCAGGGGAGCAATTATCATAGTTGACATTTTACTTGTAATTATTGTTCATTTTGTAGGAAACAAATATGTATGTATCAGCCTGATACTTGCCTTAAAATATTGTTTACTTTTCTAGCAACAACCATTACGGCCCAATTTAGTGGAGACTAGTTGTCCCAACATTCGGATGGATCCCAAATTATGCCCAGCTGATCCAGACTGGATTGCTTTTATACATAGCAATGATATTTGGATATCCAACATTGTAACCAGAGAAGAAAGGAGGCTCACCTATGCGCACAATGGTAATGCATTGTTCTTCAAATCTACTTTGCCGAAAAGTATTTTTAAAATTTAATTTGCTTTTAGCTTTTGAAGTTGATGCAAGCTGGGTAATCTTTAAAGTTAAAAAAGAAAGTACAGAGGGTAAGAGGCAGGTACCACCTGTGTAATGCTGCCTTCCCTTGATGTTCATTTTCAGATGGCACAACAGTAGCACCTCTGATGTGATTTTTCTGTTAGCATAGTAAGACTGCCAGCATTTCTCCAAAACTGTTCTAATTAAATTTTTAATTTTCAAAATTAATCTAGTTTTTGGGAAACAAACAGAAAAACCTATTACACATGATAAGAACTTTCTGAAAATTTATGTCCCTGTTTTGGAGACCCTACTTAGTTACTTTGTCATAATAGGAAAAACAAAACTTTGTAGTATAACTGTGTGTATTGTGGAAATACTTCATTTTTATTGAAATGACTATAATCCTACTAAACACTACTCAGAGCACAGAAAAAATGTGGGTATTTTCCTCTAAAACTTTTGTACATATGAAAGATGGGAAATAGTGTGTATTTTTGAACACATGGATGGTAACTAAAAATTCATTTGTTCAACTGTTACCTAATATAACGTTAACAAAGCTAATTTATTGGGCATCTTTAATAAGTTATTTCAGAATGCTATTAGAATGCAATAGTGTATTGACAGCCAGTGTTTTTTCATCATTAGGAAAATCAGTGTTATAGAAGAAGCATTTTCCTGAACAATTACATTGATGGAAAAAGCACTAAACTAGGAATCAATAAATCTGTTCAACCTACTCAATCAATCAACAAAAATACATGAAGTTCCTGTATGCCAGGCATTGTGGCTAGAACTAAGGCTATAGAATTGAATAAGACACGGTCACAGGCCTCAAGGAAACTGTATAAACAAATAATAACAAAATAGAACGATAAGCCAGGGAGTTATGAGATGACTACACATTAGCCAATACACCCCAGATGAAGAGACTGCACAAGAAAAGTCGATGCAGAGGGCCTCATTTGGAAGCCGGCTCATGGTGTTAGAAGCAGTCTCATGGTCCTAACACACAAGGTATGAGTCAGGAAATAGAGAAAGATAAAGTCAGCAGCTGAGAAGAGCCAGGACGAGGGTAGACTATATCTTGTAAATGAACATGGTCTTTGTCATGATGTGGGTGTCCACTGAAGAGTTTTTACCAGTTGGATGGTGTGGTCAGAGTCATATTGTAGAGAAATTGTTCTGGATACTTTGTGAAAGTTGTATTTGAGAAGCACAAGACTAGAGACAGGGACATGAAAGCTTGAGAGTTGCAATTATCTGGGGTTTGGATATTTTTACTTAATTCTAACTATTAGAATAAAGCCTTTTTTGGTCTAATTTTTTCTTCTGTAAATTGTTTTACACACAGGATTATTGTGAAGATTGGCAGAACTTAAAGTAGAAAGCACTGAACCCCTGCAGGATACTATAGTAATGTTTTTTTTCCTTTTCTGTGCATGTAGGTATGTGGTATATTTATTTTCAGGATTAGTATAGTAGTTAAAAATAGAATCAAGAACCAGACTATCTGTGTTTGAGTCTAAATATTTTAGTCTGTGGTTGGAGTCTAAGTATTTTAGCTCTGTGACTTTGAGTAAGTTATTTAACCCATCTCTGGGTTTCCCTACCTGTAAAAAGGCATGTCATCATAATGCTGTTATGAGGTTTTAATGACTTAATATTTGTGAAGTGTTTAGGACAGTGTCTGAAACATAGTAAATGCTACATAAGTTTAGGTAGAAAGATAGGTGGAAAGTGAGCATGATCACTCTTATTCTGCTTATTCACAATAGATTCCCAAGTGAAAGTGTGCTTGTAGATGGGTTTAATCAATCAGCGTGTGTGTGTGTGTTTATTCTCTGCCTAGTGTGGTAGAGGAATTTAAAAGTAATATAAGACCAGCCTCTACTCTCAAATGACCTATCAGGAGAACGAGATGATAACCATTTATTCCTTTAATAGCTAGCTGAATAATTGAGGTCTGTTGTAAGTGATGGGGAGATACAAATGAGTGATACCTATTCTCATACCTAAAGGAGAACAACTGTAAAACAATATGGGGGTATAACTTTGGGGTAGTTTAAAGATCCAGGAAAACTGAGCATTGGTTTTGGCTCCATCATTAATTCTAAAATTCAGTTGGTGGCAAAACCTGACTTGAACTGACCAAAGGATATTTACAATGTTTATCCTACTTAGTGTGCCTGCTCATAAGTTTGTTGCAAGAATTTTGGTATATTTGATTACAGGGTATTTGATTACCCTGCTGTAGATGTTGTATAGTTATATAGTAGATGTATAATATATGAAGAATACCCTAAATTCTGAGTTCCAAACACTTCTGGACTCAAGATTTTTGGTTAAGGGATTATTGGTTCATATTGCACATTCATTTCATACAATATATAGAAAACACAGGTAAGCAAAAATAATATGTGAAACTTGACTGTAAAATTTAAATCACCATGATATACTACTATACCCCCATTAGACTAGCTAAAGTGAGAAAGATTAAGAACACCAAATGTTGGAGAGGAGCTTTCATACAGTGCTAGTAAGAATTATAAAATAATACAAATGCTTTGGAAAACTGGGTGGCAGTTTCTTATAGTTAAACATACACTTGTCATACTACTCAGCCATTCCACTCTTAGTTCTTTATTCAAGAGAAATGAAAATATTAGTAGCCAAAAACTAGAAGCAGCCCAGATGTCCATTAACAGATGAATGGATAAAAGAACCGGTGTGCTATGAAATAGTACTCAGCGATAAACAGGAGTGAATTACTGATAAATGTAACAACACTGACGAATCCCAAAAGCAGGCACAAAGAATATACTGTATGGTTTCATTTATATGATGTTCTAGAATATGCAGAACTAACCTCTGGTGATAGATCAATGGTTGCTTCTGGGGTGGGGACAGAGATTGAGTGGGAAGGGGCATTAGAAAATATTCTGGAATGTTGAAGATAGTCTATGCCTTGATAGGATTTGTTTTACAAGTACATGCATTTTTCAAAAATTAGTGGTACACTAAAGATTTTATAAACTGTAAAGCCATTCTTTAAAAAACTTTGTCCATAAGGCTCCTATAGTGCTGGTAATGTTCTACATCTTGACTTTGGTGTTGATTATAGGTGTGGATACATATGTAAAGGTTCATTAAATGCTATGTTACCATTTGTTAACTTCTTGGCATGTCTGTAAAACCTCAAAGCAATTAAAAAAATACACATACCCTTTAAGAAGGAAAGACATTTCCACTTTTAGGAAATTATCCTACAGATATACCCACACATATGCAAAATGACATACACAAAGTTATAAATTACAGCATTGCTTATAATAGCAAACCATGGAAACAAATTAAATGTTCACTGGTACATTCATCCAATGGAATATTATGAACCTGTTTTAAAAAAAAGAACAAAGAGCTTATGTAGGGATATGAAAAGAGCTCCAAGATAAGTTGAACTAAAAAAAAAAAAATCCAAAAGGAAAAAAAACAGTGTTTATAGTATGCTATCATTTGTGTAAAAATATCTTTACAGGTAGAGTACCTCTCCTCCTGGGAGGAGAGCTTGGCTGGGCAACACAGTGAGAGGGAGGTTTACTTTGCAATGAATCCTTTTTTGTATGTACCCTTTGTACTGTATATACCATGAGAATCTATTATTTTTTTAAATAAATAATACTAAAACTCAAAAAAAAAAAAAAACTTTGTCCATAATCTGTTTGGAGAGAACCATATTTTGATTTATATCCTAACACCTTTTAAAGTGCATATTTATATAGCATTTTTATAAATGGACTCAAGGTGTGTATGACATTTAGTAATACGCTTTTTTAAAATTCAAATATATTATAAACATTTTCCCATGTTATGACATCTTATATAATTATGGCCTTGTGGTTTTGGTTTTTATTTTTAAAGAGTTTCCTTCAAACTGCTGGTAATCAGATAAGAGCTGAGCTGCTCTGGTCGAATGGTAGGAAGGAGAGAAAGAAGGATGCTGAAATTACATGATCTGTAAGGCCATTCTAGGTCTAGAGATGTACTTCCTTTGGGTAGGAGAGTTACAAGTGACCATGACCCTTTACACATGTATCCTTTTTCCCATGATCCTAGCTAGGTGGGAAAATAATAACTAACATTTATGGAGCACATTCTATGGTTGGGGCTTTGTTCTAAGTGTTTTATGTGAATTAACTCATTTAATCCCCAAAACAACCCTGTACGGTAGGTTCTTATTCCCATTTACAACTAGGACACTGCGGTGGAATGAGATTGGGAGATTTGCACAAGGTCAGTCAGTTAATGATGGAGCCCAGATTTGAATTTAGTCTATTTGGCTCCATAGTTCACCACTGTACTACAGCTGCCTTTCAAAGTAAAGTGGATCATTCCTTTTGTACTCATGAAAATATAGAAAACTTTCTGCAATAATTTCGCCTTTTATTTTTGTCTAGAGCTAGCCAACATGGAAGAGGATCCCAGATCAGCTGGAGTTGCTACCTTTGTTCTTCAAGAAGAATTTGATAGATATTCTGGCTATTGGTGGTGTCCAGAAGCTGAAACAAGTAAGGGGGTTCAAAACAGTATAGGTCAATTGAAGTAGTATCAGATTCAGCTACCAATTAGTTAAGTACATGGATTCTAAATCCTGAATAATAGATTCTGAAGTGCTGAAGATTGAATCCTCCCAGTAGTTACTTAGAATGTACTAGCTGTATGGCCTTTAATGAATTCTAGTGAAAACAACTGAATTGTGGTTCAGTACCTCAGGTCTTTCAGCTCTCTTTGCAAATATGTCATTTAGAAGCTGGGCTTGGTAATGTAGCAACATCGGTGGCAAAACAAAAAACCCCACACCTTAATGAGTTGCTGTAAAAACATAGAATTGACTAAAGAGTCTGCCTGAACAGAATTCATGTATGAATGGATCAGAGAAAAGGGCACAAATTCCTCCTTTTTCTGGTGAATTCACTGCCTGAGAAACAGCTTATAGCACTGGCTTTCAAACTTTTTGTTTATGATCCAATTAGAATTTGCTTTATATTCTAGCCTAATACACTGTACATCTACTGTATACATAAATTGAAAGTAAATGTCATGAAGCAGTATTTATCCTTATATGCTTTCCCTTTAGACAGTCAAATGCTTATAAGCTGAATGCACACAAGATTAATTAAAAAGCAGTCTTCCTTTTCAGATTTTTTTTAACTTTATTGAGATATCATTTATATATAATACAATACAATAATTTATTTACAATGCACTTGATATTGTATATTTTTTTGTTTGTTGTATATTTTAAATACTGGTATAACCAGTTAATAGATTTCATTACTCTAATGGATTATAGCTAACATTCTGAACACTTCTTTAAGAGATCATGAAAGATATCATTTTAAGCCATGTCTTAGATTTTGACATTTTATTTTAAAATGTAAAATGTTTTGCCATAACTGTATTTGTTAGAACAAGATTTTGACACGAGTTAGAGAAACCATTAAAAAAATTGAACTCTATTTAAATGATATTTATTTTTTTTATAGGAAACATTTTAAATGTAATTAAATAGTTCCCTTTTTAACAAGGAATGTATTTTAAGGCATGCAAAGACCAAAGTCCGTTACAAATATGTTGCCCCATTTTAAATATGTTTATAAGCATAATTATCCTCAGTTTTTGCCTTCCAAAAGAAGTAATCTTTAACCAGTAAAAGTAACTTAGCAGTATCTCACTTGCAACTGAAAAAACTAGTGTTATTTTCATACATAAAAGCAGCATATTTTATACATAAATTATTTTTCATTATGGGAAATATACTACTAGAGGGAAAGGTCAGTTATGCTAGAATAATTCTTCTAAATTTTCATTATTTAAATTCCTTTTAAGCTCCCAGTGGCAGCAAAATTCTTAGAATTCTGTATGAAGAAAACGATGAGTCCGAGGTGGAAATTATTCATGTTACGTCCCCTATGTTGGAAACGAGGAGGGCAGATTCATTCCGTTATCCTAAAACAGGTACTGTATTCCATTGATATTTATATTCACTCATTTCTACTTTCTGAACAAAATTCTCTGTAGTCATCCAAAGATATGGTCAACATTAATCATTTACAGCCTTAGTAAGGATAACTTTGTTGTTCATTAAGTGTCACTGAAGTAGGTTTCTTAATTGCAGGCTAATTTTGAATTACTTTCAAAGCTAGGGAAGTGCACAAAGTTGTTTATTTCAAGGAATGAATAAAAAGGTGTCTTTGCTGGGAAGTAAACACTTTTAAGGGATTATGTTCTTAATAAATTAGTAATTTCCCCCCATTTTGCTGTTTACAGCATTTCAGTTATAAAACGATATTTCATATGGAATCTTGATGTTTTTCAGCCTCTTTTTTTTATACCCATATTGAAAATTACCTATTTGAGGTGTTGTTCTGAGATTCTTATGCAGTAAAGCCCTGACTATACAATATTCCTGATTTGACTGAAGTGTAAAGAGGATTTAGCTGGCAAAATCAGTTTGAATAATTGTATGTGTTTATTATTATTTGTTTATGTCTCTCTAAAGGCACAGCAAATCCAAAAGTCACTTTTAAGATGTCAGAAATAATGATTGATGCTGAAGGAAGGGTAAGTATAAAACATTGAGTTGACTTTTTGTGTCATTTGAGTAGTTAAGTCGGTCTAGTTAGAGATCTTAGATATGCTTTTTAATTTTTTATACTTGAACTTGCTGAGATATCTGTGAATCGATTTCAGATTGACCTAATTTTCTACCTTCTATTTCTGTATTCCCAAGATAGGAACATGGGGATAAATATATTTGCCACTCCTTTCCAATAGTTTTTCCTTTTTGTCTTTGTTAACTCTCCAGATTAGTATTAAAAATACAGCAGTTATTGACTGGTAACTTACTTTCTGTGTTGAATAGCTGTCTGTGGTTAAATATCCCACATTTCTCTTACATTGCTTCTTTTCTTTTAGACAATAAAATGCTTATAAGCTGAATGAACACAAGATTAATTAAAAAGCAGTCTTCCTGCTGTACTTTTTTTAACAACTTCATTGAGATATAATTTATATACAGTACAATAATTTATATACAGTTTATATACAGTTCACTCATATAAAGTTCAAAATAGCTTTTAATTTATATTCCTGAGTGTGCAACCATTCCTACAATCAATTTTGGAAAATTTTCATCACCCCAAAAAGAGGCCCCACATCCCTTAGTCATCATGCCACGGCATCAGCATTCCCCCCATCCCTGGTCAACCACTAATCTACTTTCTGTCTACAGATTTGCCTATTCCGGACATATCATATAAATAGAATCATACAGTATCTTGTCTGATTTCTTTCACTTAGTGTCATGTTTTCAGGCTCTATCCATATGGTACCACATATCAGCACTTCATTACTTTTTATCACCAAAAAGTAATTTCATTGTATTAAAATTAATAGTAATTACATATGGAAATACCACATTTTATTTATCCACTCATCAGCTAATGGGCATTTGGATTGTTTACATCTTCTGGCTACTATAAATAATGCTACTGTGAATGTATGTGTACAGGTTTTTGTGTGGGTAGACATTTCTGTTTCTCTTAGTTATATGCCTAGGAGTGGAATTATTGGGTCATATAGCTCTCTGCCAAACTTTTCCAAGTGGCTCCACTATTTTATATTCCCACCAGCAGTGTATGAGCTTTCCAGTTTCTCCACATCTTCATCAACACTTGTTACAGTTTGTCTTATTCATTACAGCCATTCTAGTGGGTGGGTTTGAAGTTCTATTTCATTGTGGCTTTGATTTACATTTTCCTGACGGTTAATGATGTTGAGCATCTTTTCATGTGCTTATCGGCTATTTGTATATCTTCTTTGAAGAACTGTCTATTTAGATCCTTTGCCCATTTATTTTAATTTATTTTTTTAATTGTGTTGGTTAGACTTTAAAAGGAAAAATGTTTACTAATATGCTACATAAAAAATATTTAAGGCTGAAAAATATAGGGAACTAGGGACTATTATTTTTTCTTAAATACTAGAGTCTATAAAGTGATTAAAACTTTATTTTTATCAGTTATTATCAAGGGTTCTGTTAATATAAACTCATGGGAAAAAGATTTTTAGACTCTGTTAGGAAACCCACAACTTACTGCTGGTTTTGCTGTATCCTTCAGGCCTTTTTAAACACTTAAGTCTGAAAAAGTATCATGCTGTTAAAGGTAATGATTGAAGTAAACTAGTAAGCTATGGTGTTAAGTCTTCAATAACTAGATTCCTTTTTTCTTTTTTAATAGATTATAGATGTCATAGATAAGGAACTAATTCAGCCTTTTGAGATTCTGTTTGAAGGAGTTGAATATATTGCCAGAGCTGGATGGACTCCAGAGGGAAAATAGTGCGTATGTTATTGTCACTTCTTTACAAAAATAGTTTAGTACCCAGACCTTTAGAAATGTCTGTGCTGTTAGGTTTGCCTTTTGGTTGGTGCCGCCTTCACATGGGAATTTGCAGTGTTGTTATTTCTCCACAAAGAACTAAGTGGACTTGTCAATTTGTAATCCTATATAAGCATAGGTACATTGCGTTTTAATTCTATCTCTGAGTCATAGTTTCAGTGTTATTTGTGGTTCAGTTGTATGATTTTAAGGCTCAGATGTTAGTAGGGTTTTTTTTAATTGTGTAATTTAAGCAAAAGTATTTGCAGAGCCTTATATGAAGATGATTACGTATAGTTCCCATGTCTAATGTAGACAACAGGAGTTTCACAAGGCCGGCATTGTTGAGACTAAAGGGAGAAAACAATTTCAGAAGCCATTTGTGGTTTTGAAGCTTTAAAGAAAACTCTTTTTAAAAACTCTGTTCAAGCTTAACTTTTAAAAGTTAAGTGTAGTTCTCCGCCCATGGACGCTGCTGAGTAAGCATCGTTGAAGTCACCCCTCCCAGCGCCGTCATGTGAGCCCGAACAGCAGTGGAAGCCCTTCATCTGAGCTCTGAGCTTTGAAACAACCAATGAAAGTCTGAGGAGCCGTTCTGAGCGATGGGGAGCGCTCGTGGACTGTGTGGCAGTGGGAGACCCGAACACCAAGAGCTCCAGAGGCCTTGGCTCTGTCACCTATGCCGCTGCAGGGGAGGTGGGTGCGCCATGGATGCGAGGCTGCGCAAGGTGGACGGAAGAGTCATGGGACCGAAGAGGACTGTCTCCAGAGAAGATTCTCAAAGACCCGGTGCCCACCTAACTGTGAGAAAGATTTTCATTGGTGTCATTAAAGGTGATACTGAAGAACATCACCCAAGATATTATTTTGAGCAGTATGGGAAAACTGATGTGATTAAAATCATGACTGACTGAGGCAGCGGCAAGAAAAGAGGCTTTGCTTCTGTAACCTTTGATGACCATGATTCTGTAGACAAGATCGTCATTCAGAAACACGACACTGAGTGGCCACGACTGTGAAGTAAGGAAAGCCCTATTTGAGCAAGAGATGGCTAGTGCTTCCTCTAGCCAAAGACGTCGGAGGGGTTCTGGAAACTTTAGTGGTGGTCATGGAGGTGGTTTTGGAGGGAACGACAACTTTGGTCATGGAGGACACTTCAGTGGTCGAGGTGGTGGCAGTGGGGATGGCTATAATTGTCTGGTCATGATGGAAGCAATTTTGGAGGTGGCAGAAACTTCAATGATTTTGGAAGTTACAACAATCAGTCTTCCAATTTTGGACCCATGAAAGGAGGAAACTTTGGAGGCAGAAGCTTGGACCCATATGGTGGTAGGGGCCAATACTTTGCCAAACCATGAAACCAAGGATGCCTGTGGGTTCCAGCAGGAGTTAGGAAAGTGGCAGGAGGTTTTAATCACTGCCAGGAAACAAAGCTTAGCGGAAGAGAAGAGCCAGAGAAGTGACGGGGAAGCTACAGGTTACAACAGATTGGTGAACTCAGCCAAGCACAGTGGTGGCAGGGCCTAGCTGCTACAAACAAGACATGTTTTAGACAATACTCATGTGTATGGGCAAAAAACTTGAGGTCTGCTTTTTTTTTTTTTTTTTTGAGAGGGTATCTCTCATATTTATTGATCAAATGGTTGTTAACAACAATAAAATTCTGTATAGGGGGGTCAATGCTCAATGTACAATCATTAATCCATCTCAAGCCTAATTCTCGTCAGTCTCCAATCTTCTGAAGCATAACGAACAAGTTCTTACATGGTGAACGAATTCTTACATAGTGAATAAATTCTTACATGGTGAACAGTACAAGGGCATTCATCACAGAAACTTTCGGTTTTGATCATGCAATATGACCTATAAACCATCAGGTCAAATATGAATATTCATTTGATTTTTGTACTTGATTTATATGTTGATCCCACATTTCTCCTATTATTATTATTATTTTTATTTTTAATAAAATGCTGAAGTGGTAGGTAGATGCAAGATAAAGGTAGAAAACATAGTTTAGTGCTGTAAGAAGGCAAATGTAGATGATCAGATGATCAGGTGTGTGCCTATGGACTAAGTATTAATCCAGGCTAGACAAGGGCAGCAAGACATCCACGGATGCAGAAGATTTCTCTCAAAGCAGGGGGGGTGAGGTTCTGAGCCTCACCTCTGTTGATCCCCAAATTCTCACCTGATGGCCCCCCTGCGACTGTGCCTGTCTTAGGTTGTTCCTCCCTTGAGGAATCTTACCCGTCTCTGGCTAACCAGTCATCTTCCGGGGCCATACAGGGAAATGTAAAGTTGGTAAGTGAGAGAGAAGCCATATTGTTTGCAAAGGTTAGCTTTTTACTTCTTTGCAGATTTATGCCCTGTGGCTTCTATGCCCAGCACTTGTCTCGAGGTATCTTTACCACCTGGAGGAATTATGATACTCGGTAAATTCGATATGAGGCACGAATTCTATTTAAGGTTTGTAATTAGGAAGGAAGAAGAAAAGCTATAGATGTAGCATATGAAGGAAACTTGGGAGGATTGATTATTTCTTTGACATATCTTCTTGTATAGTACCTTAAGTATGTATAGGTTTTAAACTACTAACTAATTTGCACACACATATTAACATAATAGGAATACGGTGACATAAACAAAGCAAATCTATAATTACCAGCCATCTCCAGTGAAGCCAAGAAAACCATTTAGGCACCCTAGGCATTTGTGAAAATTTATCTATGATATGATGGATATTTTCCAACTGTACTTGAACCATCAGACAAATTAAAGCAGCCCATTTCTGGGATCTGTTCACATCCCATATGTTCTTTTAACCATAGATAGTCTATAGTCATGAGATTTTGGGGTGCTACAACTTGCACCCCTCCCAACTCCTGGTTGAGTTCCAACAGTACAGATCCAGTCAAATTCGTTGTCTCACTGTATGCACATGCCAGCCTAGACATCTCCCTCCTCCTTCTTATGGCAAGTCCAGGAGATGGTGGGCTGGATGCAGCCACAACCGCAGCATCGTCCGGATCCCTGTGGAGGCTTTTTGATGATCATCCCCCGGCACGAGTCCTCCAGAGAGTGCTGATGCCGGAAGCTCCTCCTCATATCGTATCTTAGTTCATTTTCTGGGTATCCAAGCTAGGCCTTGATCTTCTGCGTAGAAACAAACAGACCCTTTGCCCACACTTTGACATGCCCTCTATACCACTGTGCAGAACTCATTGGAGGTCAGCACACAGTAACTTTTTTTTTTTTTTTTTTTAATTAAGAGAAAGGAATATTATCAGAAAAGAGTACCTCCATAGCTGATCATCTGACACCCTTTAAGTGATCAACATTAAGGATATTTAAAGCATGCGTTGATCTTTGATTTACCAATAGTTTTATCCTGTTAAGGAGTAATCCCCCTTTTCTTTCTTTTTTTTTTTTTTTTTTTTTAAATTTTTAATCTACACTTACCTGAAGAATACTATGTTTACTATGCTCTCCCCTATATCAGGTCCCCCCTAACAACCACATTACGGTTACTGTCCATCAGCTTAGCAAAATGTTGTAGAGTCACTACTTGTCCTCTCTGTGTTGTGCAGCCCACCCTCCCCTTTCTCCCTCCCCCCCATGCATGCTAATCTTAATACCCCCCTTCTTCTTCCCCCCCCTTATCCCTCCCTGCCCACCCATCCTCCCCAGTTCCTTTCCCTTTGGTACCTGTTAGTCCATTTTTGGGTTCTGTAATTCTGCTGCTGTTTTGTTCCTTCAGTTTTTCCTTTGTTCCTATACTCCTCAGATGAGTGAAATCATTTGGTATTTCTCTTTCTCCGCTTGGCTTATTTCACTGAGCATAATACTCTCCAGCTCCATCCATGTTGCTGCAAATGGTTGGATTTTTCCACTTCTTATGGCTGAGTAGTATTCCATTGTGTATATGTACCACATCTTCTTTATCCATTCATCTACAGATGGACATTTAGGTTGCTTCCAATTCTTGGCTATTGTAAATAGTGCTGCGATAAACATAGGAGTGCATCTGTCTTTCTCAAACTTGATTGCTGCGTTCTTAGGGTAAATTCCTAGGAGTGGAATTCCTGGGTCAAATGGTAGGTCTGTTTTGAGCATTTTGATGCACCTCCATACTGCTTTCCACAATGGTTGAACTAATTTACATTCCCACCAGCAGTGTAGGAGGGTTCCCCTTTCTCCACAGCCTCGCCAACATTTGTTGTTGTTTGTCTTTTGGATGGCAGCTATCCTTACTGGTGTGAGGTGATACCTCATTGTAGTTTTAATTTGCATTTCTCTGATAATTAGCGATGTGGAGCATCTTTTCATGTGTCTCTTGGCCATCTGTATTTCTTTTTTGGAGAACTGTCTGTTCAGTTCCTCTGCCCATTTTTTAATTGGGTTATTTGTTTTTTGTTTGTTGAGGCGTGTGAGCTCTTTATATATTCTGGACGTCAAGCCTTTATCAGATCTGTCATTTTCAAATATATTCTCCCATACTGTAGGGTTCCTTTTTGTTCTATTGATGGTGTCTTTCGCTGTACAGAAGCTTTTCAGCTTAATGTAGTCCCACTTGCTCATTTTTGCTGTTGTTTTCCTTGCCCGGGGAGATATGTTCAAGAAGAGATCACTCATGTTTATGTCTAAGAGGTTTTTGCCTATGTTTTTTTCCAAGAGTTTAATGGTTTCGTGACTTACATTCAGGTCTTTGATCCATTTTGAGTTTACCTTTGTATATGGGGTTAGACAATGGTCCAGTTTCATTCTCCTACATGTAGCTGTCCAGTTTTGCCAGCACCATCTGTTGAAGAGACTGTCATTTTGCCATTGTATGTCCATGGCTCCTTTATCAAATATTAATTGACCATATATGTTTGGGTTAATTTCTGGGGTCTCTAATCTGTTCCACTGGTCTGTGGCTCTGTTCTTGTGCCAGTACCAAATTGTCTTGATTACTATG